GAATGATTTGTAATCCTTTGGGCTTATACCCAGTAATGGGATTGCTGGGTCAAATCGTATTTCTGTTTCTAGATCCTTGAAGAATTGCCACACTGTTCCAGTAGGGAAGGACTCAATCTACCCTGTAAAGGTATCCACCCATACAAGAAGATATTTAAATTTCTTGACACAGTGAGTATGAGTAAAGTCAATTTGCCAGCCTTGTGTGGGAGCAAATCCTGTGCATGGTGAGTGGGAAAGGGAGCAGATTTTTAAAATCCCTGGGGGTTGGTAGAGTGGCAGATGGAGCACTGAGATGTGATTGTTTTAAGGATGGACATCCATGAAGGGAAGGAGATAAGAGGTTCTAAGAGACAGGCCAAAGGCTTACATCCCACATGAAAATGGTTTTGGAAAGAAGGGAGGATAGAACGGGCTTGTGAGGCAGGAAGAAGGAAGTTTCCTTCATGCAAAAACCAACTGCTTTTAGTAGGCATTGATCAGTATCAGGATTCATAAGTAGGGGTAATTGATGAGAAAGAAAAATAGTGTCTGCTAGGAGGGATATCGGTGCGTTTGCTGCATTTTTAGCAGTTTCATTGGCAAAAGCATTTCCTTGGGCAATGGGATCTAAAGTTATTTGGTGCCCTTGACAATGGATGGCTCAGCCTTGGCTGGGAGGAGAGCAGCCTTAAGGAGGGCCTGTATTAAGGAAGCATTGATAATAGCAGATCCCTGTGTAGTGAGAAAGCCCCTTTCTGCCCATATGGCAGCATGGTGGTGTAGGATGTGGAAGGCGTATTTAGAGTCATAGATATTTACATGTAGTCCCTTAGCAAGAGCAAGAGCATGGGTTAAAGCAATTAGTTGAGCTTGCTGAGAAGTGGTAGAGAGAGGGAGAGTGGTAGCCTCCATGATAGATGAGTGGGCTACAACTGCATAACCAGCATTAGCCAGTGTTAAATGACTGGGCTTTGAAGAACTGCCATTATTAAACCATGTGTGGTCTGGGTCTGGAATGGGAAAGAGAGAAATATGTGGAAAGGGAGAGGATGCTCTATGGATTAGGGAGATACAGTCATGGGGTTCGGGGCTTGTGTTTATGTTTGGTATTAGATGAGAGGCTGGATTAAAATCGGGGCCGTGTGCAATAGTCACAGTGGGAGTTTCAATAAAGAGTGAATAGAGTTGTATAAGACTTGGGGCAGATAAACATGTGGGAGATGGGAAGAGGATACTAAAACCTGAAGGTTGTGAGAGCTGAATAAAGTGAGTGAGTGAGGCATAGCCTGTGATTTTGAAAACCTCAAGAAGGAGCAGAGCAGAGACAGCTGCCACATACAGGTATGAGGGCCAACGTAGGACAGTGAGGTCAAGTTGTTTAGAGAGGACAGCAACAGGATGCAGACCTGGCTCTTGTGTAAGAACTCCAACTGCACGATCCTGAATTTCAGCAGCGTATAAGGAAAGGATTAGGATGAGTTTGGGAAAGCTAGTGAGGGAGCAGTTTCCAGAGCTGTCTTTAAAGAGCAAAAGGAGTGAGGAAAGGATTTAGAATCTATGGGGTCAGTTAAGTTTCTCTTGGTGAGCTTATATACAGGTTTGGTTAGAATAGAAAAACTGGTATCCAAAGGTGAAAGTATCTGACCACACCTAGGAAGGAGAGGAGCTGCTGTTTGATAGAGGAATTCAGGGTTGAGATTAACTGGATATGGTTGGTGGGGAGAGCACGAGTGTTTTGTTGGAGGATGATGCCTAGACAGGTGACAGATGGAGAAGAAATCTGGGACTTAGAAGGGGACACGTGATATTCCTTTAAAAATAGGTGCTGAAGAAGCAGGAGAGTATCTTGCTGAGAAGCTTTATAAGAAGGGCTGCATAGGAAGTCGTCTTCCCAGTATTGAATAAGGTGAGAAGTCGAGGCACAGAAAGAGAGCAAGTTGTGAGTGAGGGCCTGACCGGAGTAGCGTGGGCTGTCCCCGAAGCCCTGAGGCAGGACAGTCCAGGTGAGTTGTTATGACTGGTGGGTGTCAGGGTCAGTCCATGTGAAGGCAAATAGAGGTTGGGAGGAGGGGTGTAAGGGAGTGGTAAAAAGGCATCTTTGAGATGGAGTACAGAATGAGCTGTGGAGGGAGGAATTGAGGACAGGAGAGTGTATGGATTTGGAACTACAGGATGGATGGGAAGGACAATTTGATTGATCAGGTGAAGGTCTCGGACTAGCCGGTAAGGTTTGTCCAGTTTCTGGACAGGCAAGGTAGGAGAGTTGTAAGGAGAGTTAGTAGGCTTTAGGAGACCATGTTGTAACAGACGAGTGGTAAGAGGTTTTAGTCCCTTTAGAGCTTGTTGGGGAATGGGCTTTTGACATTAGGCCAGGTAGGGATTATTGGGTTTGAGGGGTATAGTGACAGGTGCATGGTCAATTGCTAAGGATGGAGTAGAGGTGTCCCACACCTGTGGGTTAAGGTGAGAAGACGTGATGGCAGCCTGTGCAGTAGGCTTTGGGCCAGGTAAGAGGGCAGCTATGAGATGTGGCTATAGTCCTGTAATAGGGTAGCAGATAATTTGGTTAAAAGATCTCACCCTAATAAGGGAATGCAGTATGTGGGGATGACTAGGAAGAAGTGAGTAAAGGAGTGTTGCCCAAGCTGACACCAGAGTTGGGGGTTTTGAAGCTTGACTGTCAACTCCCACAACAGTTATAGGGGCTAAGGAAACAGGCCCTTGGAAGGAAGGCAATGTGGAGTGGTTAGCCCTCATGTCGATTAAAAAGGGGATGGAATTACCCTCCATGGCAAGAGTTACCCAAAGCTTGGCATCTGTGATGGTCCAGGGGCTTCGGAAGCAGTCGAGTAGCATCAATCTTCAGTTGCTAAGCCGAGAAGTTCTGTAAAGGAGTCAGCCGGAGAATATTGGGTTTGAATTCCAGGAGCCTTGGGAGTGGCTATAATATGAGCTGGAGAGTCTGATTTCCANGGCTTCCGGAGCAGGCTGGCAGTGTCACTCTTCAGTTTCTAAGCCAAGAAATTCTGGAAAGGAGTCAGCTGGAGAATATTGGGTTTGAACTCCAGTAGACTTGGGAGTGGCTATAATATGAGCCAGACCATCTGATTTCCAGTGAGGTTGCCCAAAGACAGTACACAGCTTAGAGGGAGTCTTGGGCTGTGAGCATTCATTAGCCCAATGTGCAAGCTTTTGGCATTTGAAGCAGGATGGAGCCCCAGGTTGTGGGCACTCCCTGGTCCAGTGGCCAGTTTTCTAACATTTGAAGCAAGGCCCTGGTGGAGGATGGCTTGATGGCGCATCCGACTGTAGTCGCCTGCATACCTGAAAGTTGTCATTGAAACAGTGGCTTACTGAGGAGACAAGCAGTTGCAGCTCTGAAATGAGTTGTCGCTTGGCTGCTTCCCCCCTATTTTTAAAACACCTTAAAGGTGAGGTTGATTATGCCTATTGTACAGTTTGAGGGCGTGAATCTAGTTTTTGAAGTTTTTTCCTAATGTCTAGGGCAGATTGGGTAATAAAATACATATTGAGAGTAAGGTGACCCTCTGGCCCCTCTGGGTCTAGTGGTGTGAAGCGTCTACGAGTTTCTGCCAGGCAGGCCATGAATTGGGCAGGATTTTCATGTTTGCCCTGGGTTGTTTCTTTAAGTTTGTCATAATTAACAGCTTTGTAAGCTGCCCACTTAAGTCCTTCATCTAAGCAAGAGACGATATAGTCATGCTTGGAGGCGAGCCCACCTGGTATTGCCAATTGGGTTCTCCCCTAGGTACTGCCCTGACACCCTCTTGGAGAGCTGGCTTATGGCATCTTTGGGTGTCAGCATAAAATTGAACCAGATTATAAGCCCTGTTTTGTTCATCTGGAGAAAGAGTAGATGTTAGAATGATATGTAAGTAAGTCATTCCAGGTTAAATTGTAGGACTGAGTTAGATATTGAAACTCTTGGATATATTTAGTGGAATCTGATGAAAGAGATCCCAAATGCTGACCAGTTTGGGACAGAGGAAAAGGAACATGCACCCTGAGTATGCCCTCTGCTCCAGCCACTTCTCAAAGGGGAAACTGTTAGATTGAATTGTGTCCCAGAGCCTGTGTGGGATGGGGAAGTGACAGAGGAAATATGCAAGGGAGGGGATGGGGCAGTGGGGAGATAACAGTTCAGTTCAGCCTGATGAGGAGTAGCCTGAGGGGAAGGGAAAGATCAGAAGGGTCTACTAGAGTGAGTAATCTGCACTGGCACTAGGGACAGGGGCATGGATAGGAGGGAAAGAAGGAGAATTTGAAAGGCGTCACATTGGGAGCAGAGTCTGGAAAGGGAGTGAAGTGTGAACAGTGGCTGGACATTGGGGACATCAGATCATTTGCCCATTTTATGACAAAAGTTGTCTAGATCCTGTAGGACAGAAAAATCAAAGGTGCTGTTTTCTGGCCACTTAGAGCCATTGTCCAATGTATATCAAGGCCAAGCAGAATTACAGAAGAAAATAAGACACTTAGAATGCTGCAGGCTAAGGGAGGGGAAGGGAGGAAAGGAGGGTGGGAGATTGCCCATAGTTTAAGAAGAGTGGTGGAGACAAGGACAGTGAATGCATGACCAAGCAGTTTAGCAGGTCTCCCAGACTAAAACTTGGTCTGAACCTGGGGTGAATTGACCAAAGGGGGCATCCCCCAAGTTGATCTGTCACCCTATGAGTGTGAGTGAATGACTGGAGCAGATGTTCCACAATGATCGGTCACTGAAGGAAACCAGTGTCCATGGTGACCAGAGCAAATGTCTCTTTTTTTTTTTTTTTTTGCTATAGAAATGTTTTATTAGGCCAAACTACTTACTATGAAAATGCTTTAAAATGCAGGAGGGGATGTAGAGACTCAAAGAAGCATGTAGTGACAATGGCTATCAGAACACACTTCGGTGATCAGTCACTGAAGGAAAACTGTCTTCCCAGTTCCATGACCAATGTAGGATTTTTTCTGTTCATGAACCTCAAGAAAGTTCTGTCTTTCTTGTCTCCACTGAAAGGAGAAGGAAGCTGACAGGCAGTGAGATGGGCTAAAGAAGAGAGTTGAGGCAAACTGCTTACCTGATCTAAGAATGGTGAGTGGATGCGCGGACTGGTCTGATGAACTTAGGTCATACGTAGGTCTCTTCACAGAGGAAACACAAGGGTAGAGGCAGGAGGTTTGGTCTCCTGTAGGAGTTCCCTCGTCCCAGGTTTTGGCACCGATTGTCACATGTGTCACTCACGTAAAGAGACCACCAGACAAGGCCATTTATTTCACGCTTGGATGCAAGAGGGCCAAGTCTGAGAAAGGAGTTAGGCAAAAGGGGTAGGAGAGGGGATTGGTTATATAGTTGGGGAAAATGGTCAGCTAATGGCGGTAATTTATCTTGGGGAGGGAGAGGGTTTCATGGGATGTGTGATCACAACGGGGGGGGTCATTTATTACAAACAAGCATGAATATATAAGTATGGGGAGTATCAGTTGCAGTCAGAGGGGAGGGTGCAGTAAATTACATAGTTACAGGGGTGGCGGTCTTGAGAAACCCAATGTCCGGGGGAAACTTTGCAAGGTTGAACAGTAGCAATGGATGCAGGTTGCAGCTATTAGTTGTGGGAGGAACAAGTTGTTTTGCCTCTTTCTGTTGCCACCTGGTTACTTCAGACTTCCTGGCTCCTGGGGGCCATCCAGAGGTGTATGTGTGGCTCACCAAGGCTTAAATAGCCAGGCTTAGACTTGGAGGCCTAGTAGGAATCATCCACAGGTACTGCAGAACAGCCAAGATTGCTGCCTGTGCCTTCCTCTTGTAGCTTCATCCCAGAAAGGTACCCGCCAGATGTCAGCCAGAGCTCTATTGTATGAAGTATCTCCCAGTCAAGGATAAATGGTCTGGGAGCTGCCGGGCAAGGACACTTAAGTCTGCTGAAGCTGGACCCACAACTGCCCCTTTTCCCATGTGTTCTTTTCCAGGAAGATGGGGCCTTTATTTATAAGTCCCTGATGGGCTTCTGCCTTTTTTTAGAGATGCCCTGCCCAGCAAGAAGGGAGTCCAGTCACAGTCTGCCTGCAGAGACCTTGGTGAGCTACCGTGGGCTCTTCCCAGTTGCTGTATAAACTTTCCAGTGACTTTGTTTATACACAGGCAAGATTAAAACCACCTACCTGAGCCTCAGCAATGGCGGATGCTGTGCTGGCTGTGAGTATTTCAAGCCAGTGGATCTTAGCTTGCTGGTCTTCGTGGGGCTGGGACCCGCCAAGCCAGATCATTTGGCTCCCTGGCTTCAGCCTCCTTTTTTTCAGGGGAATGAGCAGTTTTATCTCGCTGGCATTTCAGCCGCCACTGGGATATGAGAAAGAAAAAAAAAAAAAACAACCTGCTGTGGCTAAAATGGCTTCCCAGTTTTGTGCTGGAAACCCAAGGTGCTAGTGTGGTAGGCACCAGAGGGAATCTCCTGGTCTGTGGGTTGTAAAGATCATGAGGAAAGCACATTATTTGAGCCAGAGTGTCTGGAAAAGTCCCTAATGGCTCCTTCCCTTGGCTAGGAGAGGGAGTTCTCTGGCTCCTTGTGCTTCCAGGGTGAAAAAGTGCCCCACCCTGGTTTCATTTGCCCTCCTTGGGCTGCACTCACTGTCTAACCAGTCCCAATGAGATGAACCTGGCACCTCTGTTCGATATGCAGAGATCACTCACCTTCTGGCTCGTTCTGGCTGGGAACCAAAGATGGAGCTCTTCCTAGTCAGCCATATTGGTGGAAGTCCCAAATGGAGGTTCATGAAAGCAATCAGAGAGAAAAGACAGCCTTCAAAACACCAAACATTAGGTTGAGTAGTTGCTTTCCCTCATGCTACTCCACAAGGCCTACAGCAGTTCATCAAAATTACCGTTTAATTGTTCTTATCAGTACATGACACCAGCAGCTTTTCTGAGGCCAGAATCCTAGGACTCTATGCTTTCATGGCTTTTATCCCTCAAAACCCCACCAATTTCAAGGTAAAGAGCAAAGAAAATAAAGAGCAAAGAAAAATCACTTTATGTTTCTAGCAAGTTGAGGACAAAAGTAGCCATTTTGAAATATGCCCACAATGTATTTAACAACAGGAACCTACTTTCCAAGGGAAGAAAATTTACTAGACCCTTATTCAATCTGAGGGAAGGACAGCCAACTCAAGCTCACGTTAGTTTTCATATCTCACTTAACTGGAAAAAATTTATAAAAAAGATGAAGCTGAGAAACATTTCTGAATGTCATAGCATAGAAACTCAAGCTCACTGAAAACACCAAGAATCATATTACAGAATACTTCCCTTCTTCCCCACTTAAATACAACATCGATGGATATCCTGTTACAGCAGTGGATTACATCATAAACAGCTGAAAGTTACAATCTCTTTAAGGAGGCATTGTTGGCTTAAAGACATAGGGCAGGAAAAAACCAAGACACTAGAGGAACCCAAAGCCTCCAATATCTACATCTACAACAAACATTAAAAACATCCAGCCTCCTAGCCAGATTAACATGACATCTCACATAAATGCCTGTTTACCTTGGTTTCTATTACCCAATAGATTATGTCTGGCTTTTACCAAAAATTTATAAGGCATACGAAGGGCAAGAAAGAAAACAAACCCACAGTCTGAAGAGCCAAAACAAGCATCAGAAGCAAACTCATATATGACATCAATTTTATAATTATCAGATAGAGAATTTAAAGCAACAATGATTCATAAATTAAGGCATCTAATGGAAAAAAGTAGAGAACATGCAAGAACAGATAGGTAAGGTAAAAAGAGAAAAATTTCTTAAGAAAAAATAGAAATTAAATGATAAAATCCAAAATCATATGGGCATATCAGTAAATTGTACATGGCCAAGGAAAAAATTATTCAGTTTGAAGAGATGTCAATAGAAACTTCTCAAACTAAAATGTGAAACGGAAGAGGAGGTGGGAAACAGAAAAGCAGAATATTTCAAGTAATAGTTGCTGAGAATTTTGCAAATTTAATGAAAAAATTAATTTTGCAAAACAAATATAAACATCATGGTCCTGTTTTCCAAAATCAGGTTTTGACACGTATTAGATGTCCAGTAATTTTTTTTTTTAGATGGAATTTTGCTCTTGTTGCCCAGGCTGGAGTGCAATGGCACAATCTTGCCTCACCGCAACCTCCGCCTCCTGGGTTCAGGCAATTCTCCTGCCTCAGCCTCCCAAGTAACTGGGATTACAGGTGTGTGCCACCATGCCTAGCTAATTTTGTATTTTTAATAGAGACAGGATTTCTCCATGTTAGTCAGGCTGGTCTTGAACTTCCGACCTCAGGTGATCCACCCACTTCAGCATCCCAAATTGCTGGGATTACAGGTGTGAGCCATTGCACCTGGCCAATGTTCAGTAAATTTTATTATATGGGTGGGTGTTGAACAATGAGAACACATGGACAGAGGGAGGGGAGCATTACACACTGGGATCTGTTGAGGGGAAATAGGGGAGGGATGGTGAGGGGTGGGGAGAGATAGCAAGGGGAGAGATGCCAGATGCAGGTGATGGGGAGGAAGGCAGCAAAATCACACTGCCACGTGTGTACCTATGCAACAATCTTGCATGTTCTTCACATGTACCCCAAAACCTAAAATGCAATAAAATAAATAAATGGAAAAAAAAGTTTTATTATATGAATGGGTGAATGGAAATGAAAAACAACTGAAATAGAGATATAGAGAGGTTGAACAGAAGCAAAGCTTTATAAAAGATGAGTAGATGCCTATTCCACATATTTTTTAATTTTATTTTTATGCATTTAAATAACATTTGCCTTAAAAAATAAAAATAGAATCCTTACAGGACACTGAGGAGGATAGATACCACCAAGGCATATCATATGCAAACTGCATATGAAGATCATATGAATTTGAAAACAAAGAGAAGATCTTGAAAGAAGCCATAGGATCATACTTCACATTGCAAAGCATGCAAGCAAGAAGCGAGTGGAATGTTTGCTTTGTTTGGATGCTAATTTTTAAATTTTAAATCCAAGGTTCTCCAATATTTGAAGTATTGAATGAAGAATAAAGGAAAAACACCAACCTCAAATTTTGTATTCACCAAAATTATTCAAAAGCAAAAGAAAATGATTTTCTCAGACAAGTAATTATAAATTTATTTTTAGTAGATCTGCCTGTAACAAATGTTAAAAGATACTCTTCAGAGAGTAGATAAATGGTGGCGAGAAACTCAGATCTATCTAAATAAAGGAAAAGTGTCAGAGAAAGACTAAATAAAGTAAAATAAATATTTTATTTGTATTAATTGACACAGCTAACAAGTGAGCACCCTACCACACTGCTGCTGCTGCTGCTGGAACATGCAAACGAGGATGGGTCCCGCTGTCACCACAGTCCCTGACAACTCAGAAAGCCAGTGTGTCTTCTTTTCTCCAAATGACCACACTAACTATACAACAAGAGTTCTGAGCCAGCCTGAGATGGCTGAAATGACATAAATAGAAATCAGAATATAGATAGGAATGAAGATTATTTAGATGTAGGAATATGTCGAAATGCAATCCATAAATGGTAAGAATCACAATAAAATAGTGTGGGAGCTGACAAACAAAATAGCCAAAATATAAAAGAAAGTAACCAACCAGACAGAGCCAAAAAACACACTACAAGAATTTTATAATGCAATTATAAATATTAATAGCAGAATAGACTAAATAGAGGAAAGAATCACAGAGCTTGAAGATTGGCTTTGTAAAATAAGACAGACAAGAATAGAAAAAAAAGAATGAAAAGGATTAGAAACCTTTGAGAAATATGGAATTATGTAAAGAGATTGAATCTATGACTTACTGGTTTTCCTGAAAGAGATTAAGAGAATGGAACCAACTTGGAAAACATTTCTCAGGATATCTTCCATGAGAACCTTCTCAAGATATCTAGAGGGTCCAATATTCAAATTCAAGAAAGGCAGAGAACCCCAGTAAGTTACTTCACAAGAAGTATTTATTTCTATCCCCAAGACACATAATCATCAGATTCTCCAAGGTCAAAATGAAAGAAAAAATGTTAAAGGCAGCTAGAGACAAAGGCCAA